CCTACCAAAAAACAACTAACACAAGCCATGCGACATATGCCCACCCCTATTCTCCACCCGCTCCCGATAAATCATGTTCATTGCGTTGTTTGTCGTGTTAGATGTGAAGGTACGAACTTTTTTCATCATCTTGGCACTACCCATCTTTTACCGTTTCCCCCCCCGCGTCCCCAGCGGCTCCCGTCAAATAATGTAACAATCCGATGCCACCTTTTGCAAGTATAGAGGGCCAGACGTCTTTGCTTCTGAACCTTGCAAACAAAGTGGGGCGAGATTCCTGAAGCAATACCTTCCCAATATCCAGACAGCTCAAGATCGACCAGACATCGTGGCTCGCGTGTGGCAGCAGAAACTGCAAGCGACGCTTGACGATTTAAACCAAGGCGTTCTGGGGCGAGTGCGCGCGCGGATTTACGTTGTCGAGTTTCAAAAACGAGGGCTCCCCCACGCACACGTACTGATTATTTTTGCTGACGAAGACAAACCTCGAACCCGCGAGATCGTAGACAAGATGGTATGCGCTGAGATCCCAGATAAGGATACAAACCCTCAGCTGTATGAGACGGTCATGTCATGCATGCTCCATGGTCCATGCGGGCCTGCAAACCCTTCCTGCGCGTGTATGAAGGACGGCAAGTGCACCAAAGGATATCCGAAGCCCTTAGCAGAAGTTACACAAGCCAATGCTAATGGATATCCAGTCTACAGACGACGTCGACGGCAACAAGGTGTTCTAAAGTTCAAAGGCAGAGAATACGACAATGCTACGAGCGTCAACTGTATTGGATTCATGTGCATCTAATTTGCAGCAATAGATTAAGAGTACACTAAGTCACTCACGGGACAACACCACGGAGAAGGCAGTGACTCTAGTTGGATATGTCCATGCAGTCTAGTGGCAATCGAGCGAAGGCGCGACCGGCCTCCGTAAGCTTGACACTACTGCTGTGGCTGAGCAGAGCGATTGCCTTGGCTGCAGTCTCGTCGTCCGAAAGATCCGATGAGCGGGAGCTGGATAAAGATCGACTACGGCTGCGGTTCGAGGGCGAGCGACCGGCTTTAGCACGTTCTAGAGCGCGCTCCTTTTCGGATACGCTGCGCATCCTCGCGCGAGATGGGCCGACCAGTTGATGGCGTTCTTTCTTGGACTTCATGAGGCGGTAGGGCCAGACGATGCCCGAGGCGCCGGCAGTTGCGCTTGATGGTGACCCGTGGCGACGCCGAGCTGCTGTGCGGCTTCGCGCTGGGACATATGGAAGTACTGGGCCATCTCCTCGGTGGTGAAGTCGAAGACGACGCGGCTCTTGCGGGTTTTCTGTTGAGACTGACACCAGGAGCACGGGTCTGCTGTAGGTCACGTAGGCGACGCGAGTTTGGCGACGAGACGCAGTGGGGTCAGGCGTGGGCTGACAAGGCTGTTCGAAGGCTTACGTTGGGGCAAGGAGTGTGCGTTTGTTGGTTAGAACTGTGAGTGCCCGCGATGGAGTGGGGTGTGTTACACTGAGAGTTATGGGGAGGCGGTGAGGCAACACCGGAAAACGTGGGCAAGGCTCTGACATCGTGGTGAATCGCTTTGGTGATGTTTATTGCGGTGGGGTTGGCTGCTTGCGGTGCAGCGGGAGAAATCGGGAATGACTCGTTCCGACCCACGCACATTTCTGCCTCGGGGTGAGCGCAAAGTGCAAGCTCCGTTCCGGACGGCGCTGACATGAGCGACACTGGCAAGAACCGGCCATCGGCTACTTTGCTCTCGCCATCGCCTGTCTCGTTCGGGACAATAATCTTAGTCTGCAGACGTGACGCGCCCGATGTCTAGCAGCGGTGTGTGGTTCAGCGACGGCGGCGACGCTTGTGACCGCCACAACTGGCGACAAGTGAGCCTGCCACACGGGACTTGACCCCTTTGAAGTTGGATAGAGATAAGATCGCTTTACATCATTTCAGAGCTGCGTTCGATTATGCCACGTGGCATGCTTTGGGGCGAGATGAAATATTAACTAAAGGGGCTTTTTGAAATAAAATCGGATGTTGGAGGAGGAATCTTTGGCGAGCGAGACAAACATTTTTTCCTGGGCACCCCCAAGCGCGGAGAAAATGGTTCCGCCCCCCCCCACGCGTTTGGGGGGGCTTTGGGGGGCGGGTACAAAACTTTAGCTGGGCGAGGGGGGACCTTTCCCCCCCCCCCCGAAACGCGGGAGAGAGGGGTTTTTTTTTTTTAGGGCGAAAATCTTTGGCCAATTTATTTTGGCGAAATTTGCCCCGCGGGCCAGTGCCTTCTTGCGCGAAGAGAAAAAGCATTTGAGGTTGGCCCCTTTGTTTGGGTTGTGCCCACCTTTGCGTGCGGTTGTTGAAGGCGTGATGGCAGCGAGGTTCAGGAAATCATGCGACCTGCACTCTCTCGTGACGGAAACTATTCACTTGAAACGTTTAAACTGAATGTCCTATTGTCACCTCACGCACAGCCAAGTGTCAACTACGGACTCTGCCTTAAGTAGTGGTGTAGAGTCCAGGGGCATATGGTTTCGCCAGTACTTTCGCCGTCTACATTTTCTGCGATGTCGAAAAAACCTTGCGCATTTCGCCACCAAGACTTCGGTGTTCTTCTTCCTTGTCCTCCGCTCGTAATTCTGAGC